CCCCCCCCCCCCCCCTGCAGCAGCAGCAGCAGCAGCAGCAGCAGCTTGTGATAGATTCTCCGCCGTCCCCTTAGACGTATGCTGTTTCTTGGACCAGCAGACAAGAGACTTGCCGTCGCCGCAGGGTGACTTGTTCCCGACACCACCTTGTTCCTACAGCAGTAGCGCCAGAGCACGCTGTGGTAACTCTGCTCCGGAAAACAACGATATGATAGAGAGGGGACAACATCCAGGCCGGCGAATAGATCGAACAGCAGCACATATAGTAATGGAAATGTTGTAGGCGCTGCTGGGTGTAGGCATGTCATGTGTGTCCGCAGGCACCACCTCTCCAAATTGCGTACCTGCTGTAAGAACAGGGCAAGAAAACCGTTACTCCTGTTGCATGGATACAAATTCGCAGCCGACCTCCGGGTGACAAACAAAGTAGCACCCCTTGACAATATCAACTTGCCTAGCACAAACGTGAGATGCAGCCCCCTCTGTATGCACAACTTTCTTTGCCCCGGTCTCGCTGCTGCGCCTTGCCCACACATGTATCCTTGGGCACTCACCGCTCACAGCAAGCAGCAGCTGAAATTCAAAAAATCAACGATGGGACCGAGCTTGCAGCCGGCGCTTTTCCTCCTCAGTAGCAATCCTGTGCGTGGCGAACGCCGAACTCGAGCGAAACTCTCGGGGAATACCGACTCCGGGTAGACTCGCAAAAGGGGCGTGCAACGCAGGAACAGCGGAGCAGCAGCAACAGGCTGATCGATGTGACATAGACCAGACAAAGGAGGGGGTCCGTGCATGCACGTGCCGAAAACGAGACCCACCTGTGTGTGCTGAAAAATCCATTTCTGCTGGGGGTGGAGGGCGTGATCGTGTTTTGCAGCTTGCAGCCGAAACTATGAACTTCGGTTGTCCCGTCCATCTCTGTATGTTGTTGGTGCATACCCACGTTTGGGAAACAGGTTTGGAGTTCAGAGCACTGAATGACGTCGATCCTTGTGTCGTGAAAAGACACGGAAAAGGAACTACAGCAGTTTGCTGAGAAGAGAGAAACGCGGCGCAGCACACTTCGAGATGTAGACTTCTGGTATAGTATGTAGACTGTGCGATGTGGGGACAAAACATACGGAGCACTGCTGTGAGCGACAGGAACAACACGCTTAATGGAATCTACTTGAATCCCATGTGCTCGCATGGTTCCACTGCGTCGGGTGTCAAGATATACATATATATATATATATCGGTTCCTGCTACGCAGATGCAACGGACGGGTGTACGTTCATTCGTTTTGTCTTGCGTCGACGACTGCTTTTTCGTATGTGTGCCATCACGCATCTGATGGTGTTCTCTAGGTTAGGTAGCCCTGTGAGCACCAAGGCGTCCGCATCATTTGCGGACATTTGCGGACGATGGAAGGTGCTGTGCAGAGACCAGAATTCTTCATAATGGGAAGGCCACAGCAACTACAACAACAATGACAGCAGAAACACCACTACACCAGCACACCCAAATATACCGCTTGCACACTGCTGTGAATGAACAACGACCACTCATTGAATGAACAGAACGGTGACAAGGTGACAAGGTGGCAGGTGAAACCGAACCTTGTTTAAACGTAGTGAGAATGTCATGGATGTCGAAACCGGCCACAAACAAACCTGCCCGAGCACTCTCTACCTGCTCTACAGAGCAAGTCTAGAACGCTCGCTGTTCCATACGTACAGAACATGTTCCACTCGAATATTTCGATCCCAAATACAAGACGAAACTTCTTCGAATTTGGCTCAACACATTATGGTCCCGGCCTTGGGGACAAATATGAGTTATTCTTCTAAATACAAAAAATTCCCCCGTGTTAGTGCTGCTTTCGTGAAAGCCTCCAACCAGCGGCGCATGCACTTTGCAATAAAAAGCAGACAGTCGCCACAGACATGAAAGTAAAAAAAAATGTTGTGGAGATATATAACTCTTCAATAGAAGTACTAGGCTACGCACCACTAAACTTGAGATGCGTAATCCATTTTTCTACTCTATCGTCCTGAGAGCAACGTCTTATCAGAGCTTCGCATTCATACCGTGTGATCGCGCCATGAAGCAAAGACGTCCAATCGTCATGGTGCACTTTGCATTTTGAAGGACGGTCTACAAAATGCTTCAACCAAGATAGTGCGGGGATTACTCATTTTTCCCAGAACTGTCTCGGCGACGAGTCGAGTTTGGCCGTCAAAGGCACTGCCCCTTCTTCCGTCAGTAGGAACGTGTGCTCAAACTGCGCCGTTCGCTTGCCGTCGGCCGTCGCCGCGGTCCACTTGTCCGGCCACATCACGTTTTGGCCTGAGAATAAAAACAAAATGCGTGGGAGAGAGAGCACAAGGTTCGCCAGAAACGAGGGAAAATATTCTCCGTCGAGCATCGTGTCACTACACGGTGCGGTACGGTACGGTACGGTGCGGTGCGGTGCGGTGCGGTGCGGTGCGGTGCGGTGCGGTGCGGTACGGTACTGTACTGTACGGTACGGTACGGTACGGTACGGTACGGCCGGAATGCAAAGGCGTGAGTTTCCGTTGCAGCGGCGGGGGGTACAAGCTCATGTGTATGCAAGCACCTACGACCCGCAGGCAGTGCTCAAATCTGGCTCGTTGCATTTCGGAGTCCATGTTTCAAACGCCACAACCCGGCATCGGTTCCAAGTCAACCCGTGTGAGCTGCGTACCGAGACTAATGGAGAACAAGTGCGAGGGGGTACAAGCCTAGGGACCGGCAAGATAGTGGTTCTAGAGGGCATCGAACGCGAATAAATCAAGGCCCAGTGCTGAGGTAGAGCTTGGGACCGAGGAAGGGATGAACTCACCAGCAACAGGAGCACCACCAACAAACAATAGGGTACTAAACCCAACAATAACTTTTTCTTGAGCAATACAAGGAGTCGACCGTTGACTGCAGAGACGAAGCTGCAGGACGGAAATAGGCGCTGCTTCCGAATCAAGTTATGCTTGCGTCGATGCCGTGCAGTGCCAAACAAACATACGGACAGTCTCACCAGTTCCCTCGCATATCAACGGCTCTATTGTGAAGGTGTGCCCGACTGCCATGATGCCGTTGTTCACGTCGTTCTTGTGGTGCAACACGTACGGGTTGGCATGAAACGTTTTCCCGATACCGTGTCCGCCTACCCGGAGAGCACACACACACACATACAAGAGAGACGGACACATGCGGGTCATCATGAAAAAGAAAATATCCAACCCACTCCCGCCACCACTCGCCGTGAACGTCAACCAACATACATGAAGGTGGACGCTGCGGTGCAAGCCTTTTTGTTCAATAACCTCAAGTCAAGCCCCGAACATTCCGATCACGGCTGTATCGCATGTGCATCAGCTGACACCTTCGGCCATGGTAATTTTGAAAAAGCTTTCGGTGAGAAACAACTCATTTCCACAAATGAGCTCGTTGCCATTTTTCGAAAAAGAGGACATAGGGCCGGGCCAAAGCGGTGACCTCGCGATTTTTTAACAAACCTCGAAGCGTGTACTATTATTCGCGTTTAAACGATAAAAGTGGAAACACTGCGACGACGGCCATGAGCTTGTGAAAAACGTATCAAGCCTCGATGCGGGCACCATTATTGTCGTTCACACAAACAAAAGAGTGGTACTGCGGAAACGGAAACTCAAGAAGCAAGTCCTTGTGGAGTACATGTTCTCACAGAAGTTGGAGATGGTGCTGTAACCTCTCGCATCGACCATCTCCTGGATCACCCCGCCGATGCCAGAGTACGGTCGCCCGGGCTTGCAGTACGCGATCGCCGCGTTGAATATGTCGTACGTGGCCTGTCATTCAGGCCGCGGAGGGAGAACGACCAGGGAATGTATCTGGGTTGATTAGCAATTTTCTGACAAAAAATACTAGTCGAAAACCTTACAACTTCGACTTTCGCCGCATGCCACCTTGAAACACAAAGCAGGGGAGAGCGGTTGTTAATGGCGACGTGAGCGGATCTTGTTTGGATGGCTGGCGCAACCACATGGCAATCAACATGCGAGAGAGAGAGAAAGGGAGAGAGAATGGGGGGAGGGGGAGGAGAAGCCAGGATACCGACAGAGCGAGTGCTACGACAGTTAATCGACTTCGCTGCCATGTATAACCTGAGAGATTTGCGACGGAACGTGCAGTGGGTGTTCTTGGATACTCGCTCACGTACGGGAATCATAGGGTACGGAGAGAGGGACAGAGTCCACGGAAATAGAAATCGGGGTAAACAACCCTAACGAAGTCAAACACTTGTAAACAAGCGCATGATAATGTCGTTGCTCTTGTTGTCGCCGCCGTACTATATTATTGTTGTCGTTGTGGTTGATGTGTTCCAACTACTAATGCACACCGACTCCACGTGACGATACTGCTTGTGGGCGGAGAATGATTTCTCGGCCAACCACCAAAAGAAGCACCAGTGAATGGTGACAGGTTCCATGCGTGCATCCCCGCAAAACATCCACCTGCACGAGGTCCTTGCCGGCCTGGTCCACCTCCCCGACCAAGAACATCTCCGAGCAATCTCCGTGGTATCCCTTGTAGAACACCGTCACGTCCACGTTCACGATCATGCCGTCCTCGAGGACGGTGCTGTCCGGGATGCCGTGGCAGACTATCTCGTTGATGCTCGTGCAACAGCTGCGCGAGGCCATCCAGCAGCGCATCAGTAACGAAACCGGGGGTTAGGGGATCGACGGGAGTGGCACCATTGCCGAAAATCGACCAGGAATGCGTACGCTGTCAAGCATCCCTTAGGAGATGGTGTCCTTGACTTCCATGCCACTAAGCTGGTGGAACGGCAAACCCAGATGTTTATTGCTTGTCGTCCGAAGCAGATGGTAATAACAGAGGGAGAAAGTAGGACACAAACAAGGGCACCTCTTTGGAAACCCGAAATAGTTGAGCGGCGACGGGTACGCTCCTCTTTCCAACGCAGCCTCGTGGCAAGCGCGGTCGATGTCGTCCGTCGTGACCCCCACCTTTACCGCCTTCCCCGCCAGGTCCAACACCTCCCTGCAAACGGACACGAAGGGGTCTCGAGCCGAGACCACACACAAAGAGAGAGCGAGAGGGAGGGAGAGAG